GCGATTCCCATGGCATGTTRCTATGATGTTAGGCCCTCAAGTCTGGTTGGGGCATCTGGGGGGCACGAAGGATTCGTAGGTGGCTTTGGTTTATTTTAGAGTCCTCAGACATTTTAGTTAGACTTTCTGGGTTGTTGATGCTTTGTCTGTGTGTGTGTGTGTGTGTGTGTGTGTGTGTGTGTGTGTGTGTGCCGTGTGTGTGTGTGTGTGTGTGTGTGTGTGTGTGAGAGAGAGAGAGAGAGAGAGAGAGAGAGAGAGAGAGAGAGAGAGGAGGCGAGGTAGAGAGGGCAAGCTTGACTGGTTTTGTTTTGTCCTTCTCACTTTCTTTTTCACCCCAAGGAATTTTTTTTTCCCTGTGTTTTTTTTTTCCTTTTCTTTTCTTCCTTATTCAGCCATGGCGGTTCTTTTCATGCCCGCACCCCCATGGTCGAGTTCCCCTCCAGTTGACCTTCTTTCTGGCCACCAAACCTGTTTTAACGGCCTGTTGAAAAACTTCAGGGCCATTCAACTGCTGTGCAAACACAGATGATTGGGCGTTCCCTGTGCTGGGCCACACAGAGCCCCAGCACACTGAAAAATAAAGTTCTCTCTTGGTATAGAGGCATGTGTAGTGCAACATTGGCAGTGGGGTTGCTTAAAACCTTGTCATCCTGGATAGGAGGCATGCTCAGGAGTAGAGATCACAGTGATGGAATGGTACGGACACAGGTATCACCATGTCTCCTCAACTTGGGACTTGCTGTTCTTGCCCATCTGTTACTCCAGAGGGGTGGGAAAGAAGAGGAAAAAGAAAGAAAAAAGAAAAACAAGAAAGAACAAGGACTTGCTGTCCTTGCTCATCTGGGGCGAACTGTTAAGCATCGGATCAAGTTGGGTCAGCTCGACTCAGCTGCCTATGGTGCACTAACGGAAAGCTTTTCAAGGGTAGTGCAAACCCCACGGCCACGAAGAATCCTGAGTAGATGTAAGAGGTGAAGTGAAAGGGTGATGGGAGTATTGATGGGGTTTGTGATATGCTTCGCATGCACAATGTGCCATGTGGCCCTGATGTGGGGAAATGAGTGTGAAGAAGGTCTACATCATTCCTTGTGAACAAACAGGGGGAGCAGTGTGAAAGGGGTCACAAAATGTTTTGCATGTAATGGGGGAGCAGGAAGTGGCATAGACAAAGTGCTGTACACACTTAAACCACCGGTCCCCCCCGCCGGCCGAAAATAGGCATTCCGGTGAGTTCGGGCCGAAAACGGGGGGAGGTCGCCGACCGTCGGGCTACCGGGCTGCAAGAGCGTCGGCAGTGGTTGCAAGGTACTTTGTGTGCATGGGTGAAAGGGTGTGGGGAGGGAGTCTTGGAGGGGGTGGCCCAAGATCCTATATACATGCAAAGGGGCTGGAGGGGGTTGCCAGCAGGCTATGTGGGCAATTCGGCCGCCGCCAGGAGGCCTAGTTTGCGGCCTCATTTTTTGGATTCTTTTTTTTGGCGTAAAAAAATGCGTGAAAAAACCTATATAGCCTACATCCACGTGGGCGGCCTTGTAGGCAAGACGTTCTGAACAGGGGGAGCTGTAAGGAAGAAGATAAAAAAAAGGAGTTATTTTTTTCTCGTTTTATTCTGTTTTTTTTTGCCTTTGCGCTCTGAGGTTGTAGGGTTTGCAAAACCCTACAACCCCATAATAATTTGACTTGATTTACGAATTTAAAAAAATGAAAAACGAGAATCGGTTAAAAAGAAAAAGAAAATAAATAAAAGAAGAGCAGGATTTTTTTTTTTTCATTTTTCTCACGACTGATATGGAGTTAGAGTCCTAAAAATTCTGGACAGGTAATTTTATTTTTTCTTCTTCGTCTTCTTCTTCTTCTTCTTTGCTCTTTTTTTTTTTTTTCCCTTCTTCTTCTTCTTTGATCTTTTTTTTTTCTCCTCCTCCTTTGCTCTTTTTTTTTCTTCTTAATATTTTTCTTCTTCTTCTTCCTTGCTGTTTTTCTTCCCCCTTCTTCTTCTTCTTTGGGCAATTCGGTGGCGGTGGTCAGACACAGACACACACACACAGACACACACAGACACACACACACACACACACACACACACACAG